CGGTTGATGGTGTTGGCTTGGTGGGCATGAATGGTAGTGAGCATTTGGTGTCGATTATCATGTGAAAAAAGCCGGTGCATTACTTACATGCATGTGCAATGCTTGAAATTTTACAATTTTGTACTTGCCATTGGACGTTTCAATATCATGTTGTGGAGGTTATTGTTTAGCAAGGTGTAAATGGACTCATTTGGAATATTTCAAGCATCGATTTAGCGAGAGTATTGTGATTTGAGGTGCGTTGTAGATAGTACTTTGTAGGCCGAAACGAGAGCTACATTTCGTCTTTTAACTCTTTTTCTGAGTGTAATTTTTGCAGAAATTTTTCCCGAAGCCCCCTTGGGTCTGTCGACTACTGTCAACTTGCATCATATCATGCGCTTGGGCGTGGATAATATTGTCATCGATTGGCCGACATTTCCTAATTTAATGTGGACTATTATATGTCCAAATATCATTATTCCAGAAGTTTGGTCGAGTACCGCGGGGGAAGGATTGCCGTTGTTCTCCTACTGCTCTGATCCGAAAAAGTTGCAGGGTACGTCTTCCGATAGGCGGAATTTCTCTAAATGTCGCCCATATTGAGAGGCGATTGGTACACACAGAAAGCGCCGGACCTCTGATTTGTTCGGGTAGTTTATGAGCGTTGTAATGCGCTTTCGTCCATGAGATACTTGGCGCAAAAGTGCCGTGTCAATTCGCCCAAACTTTGACCCATCACAATATCCTCAAAACTCAATATCATTTCGCATGAACAGCGCACATCCATCACGCTGCTCTAAACCACGCCTATGCAACTTGCCACCAACACTGCCAACCACCCACGGAACCCCCATGGCCGAAATAGCAGCAAGCCCACCTCGACCACGATTGGTACACAGTGAACCGGGAAAAAACTCGCAAGCGTTGTACTCGCGAGTATGTTGAAGTTTGTATGCATCGCGGTCAGCGAGCGAAAAATTCATGGACGATGGTCTCCATCAAATTCTGACATGAGGCCACTGATTGGCCAACACAAGATGGAAAATATGCAATTTTTATTCTAGAACAGGACGGGGATGGACCGACCCTCAACCAATTGAAGTGATCAGTGTCCTTATTTTGCGAGCAAGGACTGGCATAGGAAACAGTAAACCCCGGAAAAAGCTGACACCACCAAAGATGCCGACCACATCCAAAACATGATCTGTTACATAGAATTCAACGACCTGTTTACTTCAATACCATGTCAGAAACTCATTCATTTTGACCAATTGTAGTGTAGACACAATAGGAACTGTTAATAGCTGGCAGAAATTCTCCTGATTATAGCCAATCAAGTTGGACAGACTCAAGCATTTAAAAAGATTGATTTCATTCTGCATCCATGCATGATGATACCTTGTCGGCTTTTACCGGGGTTCACGGTATCTCCGCGACGTCTGGCGTGGTGATTACGGTAAGCTAGCGAAGGGTTAGCTGACCTTGTCAAAGCAGCACATTGCGTGTGAGGGGTGAAGGATTAGCATGGGATCCCCATCAGGATAGTGCGATACTATTTTATATAGAAACAATGTGATGCCCATACATTCATCCATACGTATCTATTCAAGAAGATAATGACAAATGCCAGTTCGACATCACAAGTGGAATATGCCATCTCGAACTGTTTCATCCACGTTTGCTATGTAGAACGAGGTATGCCCTCGATCGCACAAATCGCAATCGCGCTGAGTATGCATTTTTCGTACGCATGGAGGAGCTGAAACCTTGCCTTTTTAACTTTGTAACTGCGATGAGCGCGCTCCGGAAGGACGGAACTAGGCATTTCAATGTTTGAAATTGACAGTGCCTCAAATAACAACCAATTGGAGACCTCTATTTCATATTCTATATTTGTCCAATCATGGACTGTAATTGAGTGTGAACCAATCAAAGATCAGGAAAGTCGATGAAGCATATTTAGCCAATCATGGACTAAGAAGAAATTTTGCTTCTGGTCTTGTGTGTGAAATTTACTAATCCCACTGCAAATTTAATGATGGTACAACGCTTGCGAGTTTTTCCCCGGTTCACTGTATCCATGGGAGCTTGCTTTCCGTCTGGTCCTCTGACACACTGCCTCGTGGTGCCATGGTGCGGCTTTCCAAGCTGTTTAACTGCCACTCGGATTCTGTGTCGTGCGTTTGGGCCCACGGACAGCGTTCTGTCCGAGCGGGCCACATTTGTGTCGATGTCAAATCGCAAATCCGAGGTATACCTCTATATTTCTATAATTATTGATGCCAAAGAACATTCTTTCGCAAAGAGAAGCGCTCGAATGAAGAAATTGAAAATGCGATTCGGCAAGTTCCCCGGGCGTCGTGGCAGACGCTGACAGCTCTGTCTCATGTGTGCGATGTTCCCCAGGCGATGGCCAAACGACACATGAAGGATGGTACCCGGCTCAAGGCCCGTTTTGCTATGTGAAGCCCTTTTGTCCCAAGCAACATCGAAGAGCGCCTGCGGTACGCAATTTCTTTCTTCATCCCTCGTCGAATGGAAGTCATCTTTGACAATTATTCTACAAATATGCACGAATATGTGCATATCGACGAATAATAGTTCAATTTCACAACGGTGAAAAGGAAGCTTTACGTGTACGAGGATGAAGCCATGGCTGCTCGTCGTGCGAAGTCCAAACGACTTTTATTAAAAGTTATGTTTTGGCGGCAATTGCCCGCCCCCGTATTGGCTTAAACGGCAACGTTTTCGACGGCAAACTTGGTGTTTGGACACTTGTCGAAAACGTGCCTGTACGACGCAACTCCAAGAACCGTACCAAAAGCACATTAGTGATAAGTCCGCAGTCTGTCGACTTTTATGTATATTTAGAAATGGTACTACATAATATTGTACCAACCATCAAGTCAAAGTTCTTGCGATGTACGCTGCGATCGGGTGTTGTAATCCAACAAAACAACGCCAGCCTTCATAAAATCATCATCACGACAGGTTGGCTGGAGTTGCGCGGCTTATCCGGAATCCCAGCAAACAACCAGCCCCCAACAACCCAGATTTGAATGCCTTAGACTGAGGAACCTTTAACTCTAGGCACAGTCGCAGCATCAAAAGTGCACATGAACAATCGAGGACCTCGTTGACACTGTGGAAAATTCGTTTTATGACTTGCCTGTTGACACGGTGTCGAAAACATTCATTACTTTTCAAAAGGTGATGGAGAAATGCAATGAAGTTCATGGTGGCAATGATTTAAGCTCCCTCGCATGAAGAAGGATGCGATGAAAACGGACTTAACCGCCTTTAACTTTAGTGCATTGCCTATAACCATGAGAATGCCTTGATCCAGTTGAACTTTCGACTTGGCGAAGACACATGCATGGAAGCACTTCTGAATTCCCAAGAACAAGGTCTTTGGCAATTGAAAAATACAATACATAGTTAGCCTCATATATTCGTTTCTGGACATACAAATAATACGTTGTTTCTGTTTCGAGTTCCATAAATAATCAAGTCAAAACGAAAGCAGAGTAGTAAAGCAGAGTAGATTCCCGTAAGTAAGACTATACAGTGAGCTATGGAAAATGTCCCCAGAGGTACAAATATTTCGGAAAGGAATTATTTTTTTTCAAGTCGCAAGATACATTACTGGATTCCGTGGCAGAGCATTTCCAAATGAGCGAGCGATGGTTTCACATTGCACGTCCTCCCGCATTTGAATAGTGCGATTCAATATAGCCACTCGTTTCAGGGCTGCAGACCTATTCTAAGCCATGGCTCGACGTTGATTTGATGGACAAGGTTTAGCGAGACTTTTGAACGAGTCAATAATTTTAGAGGAAGCAGTCAACTGGATTTTACTCCCGCAACATGAATAGTTTATTGCCTTTGAGTTCCTGGTACGAGGTTTTCAACATAGATGAATATATTAAGAAAACAAACTACGTTGAACGTCATTGAACTAGAGTATTTGCCTCTCTTTACGCAAGGCCAATTGGGTTCCACAGTGGACGTACTGAGGTTCTAGCGCACATTGACTACATGCCATATTGTTATGGATTGAACCCTGTACCACTAGGACTTCGTGTGGGAGCTCTACCGCATGGGCTACTTTGCTTTTATTATTCGTGAATCTGTAGTTGCTGTGTTGTATGTTCCAACGTAGGGTGGTTTGCATATCATATTATTACATTGTTTGATCGCGACATATCGTTACAACGTGGATTAAGCGAGAAAGTTATTGTAATGGCTTGATAGAATACCAGGATATTTAATATACGATATCATGTACTAGGTCTTAACGTAGAGCCTTTCTTCATGCAGATAGAATTCTGCGACAAAATGAATATTACGAAATTGTAGGGAAGGACCACTCGGAACAGTATTCCGTCGCTCGCTGAAACCGCATCATACATGTAACATCTGGGGGTGGATGTCATTCGGTTCCAAGCACTCATAGTGCTTGGTAATAACAATTTGTCCAAAACGACAGCTTGGCCGAGTGTTCAAAGGATATATTATAGAATATACCCATCCTATCCAATATACCTGGAGCATTGGATATTTTCACTCTGAAAGGGGATAAATAGATTGTGGGCGGTTTGGGGGACGGCAGTCGTGGTGCGGTGGCCGGAAATGCAGCGGCGGTGGGGTGGCAGACATGACAACCGCGGCAGTGGTGACGGCGACGATGTCGGTGGCCGTGGCGTAGTTTGGCAAGGTGTTGACGACTGTGGCGTCGGCGGCGGTCACGGTGGCAGTCGTGGCGTTGACGGCCGTTGTTGCGGCTGGTGACGCGAGGCAGGCACAACGGTGGTGGCAGTGTTGGCTGCGATGGTGTCGGCAGCCCTGGCGTAGGCCGGCATGATGTTTGACTACCGTGGTATCGGCGGCAATGAAGTTGGCCGTGGTGGCGTTGAGGCAATGGCTGCGGCGGCGGTCACGACGTTGGTGGCAGTCTTGGAGGTGGTGATGTCGTTGGCCGTGGTGGCGGTGGACATGGTGTGTGGCGACCGTGGTGTCGGTGGCCTCGGCTGTCGTGGTGTTGGCGGCCATGACTGCGGCGGCGGTGCGGGTGGTAGGCATGACGTTGGTGGCAGCCTTGGTGGCGATAATGTCGTTGGCCGTGGTGGCGGTGGGCATGGTGTGTGGCGACTGTGGTGTTGGTGGCGGTGGCGTCTGCTGTCGTGGTGTTGGCGGCCGTTGTTGCGGCGGCGGCGCGAGGCAGGCCCGATGTTGGGGCAATGTTGGTGGCGATAATGACGGCAGCCGTGGCATTGGTCGGAATGGTATTTGGCGACCGTGGTGGCGGCGTCGGTGGCGTTGGCGGTGGTGATGGTGGCGGCGGTGTGGCAGCGGCAGTGCGGATGGCAAGTTCGACGTTGGTGGCTATGTTGGCGGCGGCGATATCGACGGCCGTGGCGTTGGTCAGCCTGGTGTTGGTGTCCATGGTGGCGACGTCGCTGGCATTGGCAGTCGTGGAGGTGGCGGCCGGTGTGGCGGCGGTGGTGCGGGTGGCAGGCACAACGTTGGTGGCAGTGTTGGCGGTGATGGTGTCGGCGGCCGTGGTGTTGGTCGGCAAGGTGTTGGTGTTCGTGGCGTCGGCAGCGGTGGCGTTGGCAGTGCTGGTGTTGGCGGCCATGGTTGCGGCGGCAGTTGCACGACGTTGGTGGTGGTGTTGGCGGCGTCGAAATTGTTGGTGGCAGAATCGGGTAACATGGAAGATATGTTTGTTGTTTTGACGGACTTTCGTGCATCACCGTTCGTCAGGATGCAGTTGCAGTAGCGTGGGGTGTTGTTGGTGGATACTGCGGTACAACGGATGCTCCAGGAGCTCGTGCATCAGTTGTATCAGGGCATCGCGACGCACAATGTCATCGTGGAGAAGGCGAAGGTGGCGTCGAACGCTGGTCGCCCATGTGAGCGTTGATTGTTCTTGCCACGCGTGGCGCGGTGGTTCACGATAGGTTTCAAAGCGCGCTTTGTTGCGGTGCGTCCAAACCATGTGAAGGATGACAGCCGTGAGCATCACCCAGAGATGGAAAAGGTGGTCCTTGACGGCGGCATGTCTTTCGTCGACGACGAACGTCGTGAAGGACAAGCTTTCGATGCACTCCCACGTGAACGTCACCCCGACCACGCGCCAGACTGTTTCGTGGAAGGTCCAAATGCCACGAACACACGGGCAGTCGCGAAAAGCATGACGCTCGGTTTCAATGAGGTGGCACGGACGATACGTGCATTCCATGATTCGGGGTTGCGTGTCTTGGAGAAAGGGGAAACGCGATTGCACGGGGAGCATTTTGAACAAGAGGCGCAACCACACATCGCCGTAAATCGGCGCAGGGAGTTGGAGGAGTTTGCGGACTGCCTTGACATGGCGGGTCAGCTGTTCGGTGGTGACGAGATGGGGCTCGCGATGCAGGGGGTGGCGACGTGGTAGGACCGGTGGATGCCATGCCAGCCGTTGCAGGTGCTGGTCGGTCGTCGAGGCGAAAGGGACCACCTCCTGGCGAGGATCGTGCGGTTGGTGCGCAAAATGCGGGCGTGGGCGACGATTCGCCGGTCTCACATAGTTGCAAAACACTCCAAAGGCGCCGTGTACCTGACGGAGCACAGTCGTCAAGAGGCTATGCAGCAGCTGGACATTGATGGGCCAATCCTGGACAATGGCGTCGGGGTCAGGCCACAGCATGATATCGAGTTCCTCGGCGTTGGGCCAGTTCCCGTTGGGTAGGTAGAAGTCGGCGAGGCAGACAAAGCCGAGGCGGGCGACATATTTGTAGAACGGGCGATGGAACTTCAGAGCGTGAGCGATGCAGCGAGCACCCGAGGCGTGATTGCGGACCATGAACGGCGGGTTAGTTTGCAACCAAATCGGCATGTCCAATGCGTCGGGAAGGGCTAGCGCTGGGTTGAGTCGGCGGGCGAGTGGCACGGAACTCCAGTGCTTCCAAATGTCGCGGTTGAGCGGGGTCAGGTGGTCCAGGTGCAACCACGAGGATTGCACAACGACAGCTTGGCCGAGCGGTTAAGGCGATAGACTAGAAATCTATTGGGGTCACCCGCGTGAGTTCAAATCTCACAGCTGTCGATTGTTTTTCTCTAATGTCTTCATCCAACTGGTCAACTTCCTTGTCAAGTTGTATTCGTTAGAGGTGGCTTCTTGTGACTCCAAGTAACGTTAGTAGTGATTGCATTCCAACCAACCAGGCTATGACAGTTTACGCAACGCATCTTTGCGGTTTATTGTCGTGAGCTGATGTCGTGGTTGGCATTGTCAACCACACACGTACATTGCCTCTTTGTGGTCCTGGCCCCCTTGTGGCACGCTTTGAAGAAAACTGAATCGATAATATTTCGCAGCATTTTGAAATGCTCCATGCTAGTAATGAACTATTTGCACAGGAACAATCGAGCCACGTTTTTTTTAACCGAGGGCGCTGTTGTCTTTCAGCGTCTTAAAGCAGCGCCACATTCGATTCTCGAAAGCGGTGCATTTGATCTTCTAGCACCTTCTTCGTTTCGCTCAAGATAAACACGGCTCCAATGAGGCGCAAACCTCGCGGCACTGTGCCTTTGTATAAATGGGGCAGGCCGCCTTGGCTCCAGAGAGATTTGACCTCCGTGAGCGCGTACGACGGGGTGGATTCCAGCGCCTTGCCTTGGAGAATCGTCTTCACCGTGTCCACAGGTTGGGTGGCAAACACTGCAACAAGACCAGCCGCCACGCTGCCTGCAACACACATCTCAATCCACATCCCCACTCCATGATGATGCTTTGGCTACCTGCCAACGATGCGGCAGTGCGCTGGGACAAGGACGCATCCTGCAACGACCCAAACGTTGTTGGAAAATGGACGTGCAATTTCTGCCCAAACACGGGACCAAGTGCGAGAAAACTGGCACACCACACAATTTCACGAGCCATCGTGAGGGGAAGCGCTTTGTAGAGCCGCGTGACGCCAAAGGCCCGCACGACATCCTAGAGCGATTCAGCACCGGTGATTCGAATGGTGGCTTGGAATGACCAACGTACTTGAGTCGTGCGCACCATCGAGTGTCCTGTGCGCTGTTGCAATGTCATGACCAACTCGGCAGGTGAACTAAGCAGCGAGGAGCAAATCCCGGCAAACGACGCTGTCGCAATGCGACTCGTGTCGCTGGACGCCACGTCGCCACCAAGTTGTTGCAAGTACGACGAAAGCATACCGTTGACGGCAAACTGGACGCCAGACACTGGCGCGATGGACACACACATGACACCTACGCCGCGGTACAGCACTGACGGCCGCAACGAGATCGGTTGGTTTTGCTAAGCACCATGCAGTCACGACAACATGTCGTTGAGATCGCAGCCAAACCTGGATGCAGTTTTTTATGTACAGCAGAGGCTGCTGGCAGCACACTTCAAAGATACCAGAGGCAGAACCGATGGCGGCATGCTGCAGACCCGTCAGCGGCGTCCGCGCGCTGATCGAGAGCTGGTGGGTAGTGGCTGACGCCGAAGCGTCGTTGGCCATCTTGGTTGAATGTGGAAATGTTGGACACGTCTGCCATTGTGAATATTTTGACGCATCCTCGTGTGAATTTTTTTGGATTTCTCCAAATCAAAACGGAATCGTATCATACATTTTCACCCGATGTCCTGGCTCTCTTTCATTGTAAATTGAATAACTCTAGGTCCATGTCTGCGACAAATAATCTTGAAAAAAAGAAGACGAACGAAATATCCGGTGTGTCTATCACTATTTCATTCGCATTCAATACACAAGCACACGTACACATCCCATCACGCAACATTTCCTTACATCAAGTCCATGACGCCAACTCCAACGTCCTTGGTTATTGCGGCTCCGCTCCTTGTTGCGCGACAGAGATGCCTTGATCTCCGCGATAAACGTGTCGCGCCCCACCACGTTTCAAGTCTAGTGGACACCATGCAACCAAAAATGCGAATGTACTTAAAATGGGTAATTCGACGCACCCTTTCACGTCTTTTACATCCGTTCGGCTGATGTGCACGGCAGGCAGGTGTAGAGCTGCCGTCGACAACCCGCCACGGCGGCCAAATGAATGGCCGCATTCCCAAGCCATTCGCTCATCCAATCAACTTTGGCGGATTCGATGGCGTTCCTGGCATTTCCAGCGATGTTGCGCATCGGAGCCCTAGCAGTGACATGTCGACAGCGTAGGACCTCTGCTGGCAAGCACAAGAATGTTTGGTATTTCGATGCATGATGGCAGCTTTCGAACGAGACTGGTGCTATAGAGACGGGCAAGTTAAGCCACGACAAGGGGTTGAAATTTGATCTGAAATTGGCTCGGGCTCGCTTCGACGAGGACAGGGCGCTTGGTCGTGCGGCACAGCGCCTTGAGCCACCGGTCGTGCATGGCTTCTCGCGACATGTTGTCCAACCCCACGCGAAACTTCCACTCGCTCGACGTGCCGTTCAACCGGAGTGTCCACGTATCTCCATCGTCGAGAATCTGCGCTATAGAATTGAACGGAATTGTGGCCGTTGGCTTGCATTCGGCTTTATCGTTGGGGGAGTACAGCACGATCGCATCCGTCATGAGCGTCGCTGTCACCGTATGAAAGGCCGTTGGGGCTGCTTGGAACCACTTCTTCGGATCCGCCGGTGCGAGAACATCCAAGTCATCCAGGATGACTACATTTGGACATCGTTCGAGCGCAAATGTGATCGAGCCCTAGAACACTGCGTGAGTGGCAAGGCCAAGCAAGGTATGGGGCAGGGCAGACCTGGCCGGGTTTGGACTTATCGCTCACAGCCATGATCGATCCGTCGGGGTGGCGAGGTGTGAACATCAGTGGCCCCAAGTTGACCTTGGTCACTGTCGTCACCGACTGCACCGGGATCATCTACCATGCAGAGTTCTCGGTGACTCCACTTGTGCTGATGACGGGGACGGTAGAAGGCCAAGTTTGAATTGGATTCATCCAGAGGACGTACCACTTGGCCTAAAAAGTCTGGATTCGACCCGAAATCGTAGTCGAGGACAGTGAGGCAGAGCGTTGCCGATGGCGCGACGGCTGGCCTGTCGTAGGAGTCATTGGACGAAACAATCAAGAGATGGGGTCGTACAGAAGCAGGCGTTGGTCCCAATGTGGATTCAACGTTTTGTATACGATGTCGCTTTTCGTCGTTTGGGCGGCCTCGAGGTTGCGCGGATTGGATGATTCGAGCACTGTCACGACGACATAGGGGTCGCTCGCGCCGTTCCAGTCCGCGGCGCGGAGGTTGTCACCGTGGAGGACTAACACTGACTTAAGAATTGGCCTTGGACATAGAGTTGGAACATACGGTGAATGTACATGGGACGGGGGTGTTTGGAGTTCCGAAGCAGCGACTTGAATTTGCGAGCAGCACGTTGAATTGTCTGGGCAAGCCGCATGACCTTGAGCATTGCATCAAGCGGCACAAGGGTGGGACACTCATCAAAATTCCCCAGAGATGCTTCGTCCACGTGGATGGTGCACCCTTCGCTGGCTGCACTGTGAGTAAGGTCGGTCTGTGGCGTGGTGTCGGAGATTGGTGGGGGGAATGTGTCTACACTGTCATGAAGACTGTAGTCGCGAGGACATGATTCTGCAATGTGGGCGTTCTTCGTGTTCACGGAAAGAGTCGATGCTGGAGAGACGAATCCTCCGCAGTGCAGTGCGTCGCTCCAGCCTGTCAACTTCGTTGAGCTCACTAGCACTCATGCGCCATCGTACCATGACTTGGCCAACTCATTGCGTATTTGGGAACGTTTTGAGAGGCCAAGATATCGTGCCAAAGGGATGTGCCAAAGTTGGCTCGAATCGCATTGTCCAACGTCTTGACAAACTCCGCCGAGTAGGCGTAAGTCGCCGACATATCTTCCTTCGCCACGATCGAAGGCTCGAGCACTCCTTCCTCGATGCAATCGCGCGTGATTCCGCGCGTCAACATGCGAAGCTGCCGCTCCTCTGTCGCTGCCATCCTGTTCTTCGAAAATGACATGGTGAAATTCCGCGATCTTTGTTGCTCATCAAAATACAAAGTCGCAGTAAAAAATAGCGCGATGGGATTGGCCCGTACGAAAAGACGCGCATCTCATTGGTTGTTTCAAAAGTGCAGGGATCAATCCTAAATTAGGCATCGCAAAGACAACATCGCTTGGAAAATTGTGCCATGTCGCTGTCCCTATTGGCTAAATTAGGCATCGCAAAATGTGTCAATTTGCTGAGAAATCCGAATTGCTTCCCTAAAAACTATAACTGTGTGGAAAAATTTAGAGCCTAAAAGAATATTTTTACGTGCCATCGCCGGCAGTACAGTGAACCCCGGAAAAAGCCGACACCCCCCAAAAAAGACGACCACCTCCAAAACATGATCTGTTTCCAAATTTCTGCCACCTGTATACTTCAATACCAAGTCAGAAATGTCGTTCATTTGCAGTGAAAACTGTGACCGACTGACTGAAATTATCCTAGTTATATACGCAATCCAGTTGGACTAATGTACATAATTTGATTTTATTCTTCTTCCATGCATTTCACGATGAAACCATGTCGGCTTTTTCCGGGGGTTCTCTTCTATGTATGACGGCTGGTCCTCCAGGAATGAAGCATGAACAAGGGGACAAAATTTGTTTAACGGATGCGATGAAATTACAACAAACAAGACACAGCAACGACAAGGACAGAGCACAGTGCAGAAATCGCCATGGAACTGGCAGGAGACGCAACGGTGGTGGTTGGCGCGCTTGTCGTTGTCGAGGCGGTGGTCGTCGTGGGGGCCACCGTGGGGGCATCGGTCGGAGCTTCGGTGGGATCTCCCGTTACTGGCTCGTTGGTTGTGGAAGTGGGGGACGGCTTGCTGGTGGCAGATGTCGTGGTTGGTTTTGTCGACGTCGTGGTGGGCACTCTCGTTGACTTGGCGCTTTCGCAGAGGACCCCTTTTGCACAACCGTCAAAGGTCGGGTTCGTGCACAGCGGCATGTCGCCTCCGTTAAACTTGAGGCAGTAGGGGCAGTTGGCAGGATTGATCGACCGATCGCACTTGGTGCCGTTCAAGAGTACACACTGCTTCGTGGTAAAGCACAATTCATCGTCGGCGGCAACAACACCAGACGCGGCAAAGGCGGCCAAGCAAACCACAACGGAGGAACAGCGCATGATCAAGTCAATTCGAAAGTGTTCGTCCTCGCGTAAAGTGTGAGTGCCGCTCTGTTGGTGGACCCATCGTCCAGCTTCTCCATGAACCGTGACATGTTCCTGGCTCGACGGTACGAGGGTAGCGATCGTAATGTCGTAACGAATCCTGTGTTGGGTGGCTTATCAGAGCTCCGAGGAGATCCAGCATCCAAGAAACTGCTGTCGCGGTAAAGATGACGTCGCCCATGATGGATTTTGTAGGCATGGCTATAGTACGATCGCCTCATTCTTGTTGCTTGCACTTACCTCTGAACGACAAGCACAGCTTGACGCGTTCCATGGCCATGGCAAAAGTATGTGCTGCGGACGTTTAATGCTTCAGCGCAAGAAAAGCACATTGTCATGGCCACACGTTTCAATGTCACCTTCACTCGAGTTATCCCCCCCGATAACATTTGAAGTAACTTTGTTGCTGCTTGGACCATCTTTTTGCGCAAATTTGGCTTGCGAATGGGGGGGGGAATTGTTTTACCAGAGCTACACGGGGTTCCTGGACCGCAGACCTTAAGCGAAGGTCGCGAGAACGGAACGCGAATCCGTTGTATCCAAGAAATACCACTTTTACTGGGAGAGACAGAATGCAACGCCCACCCAAGATTTTTGTGCTATATACGTCGAATATTATCCTATCATTTTTGATCTTTGAAATACCGCAACATCATTTGCGGAATTTTTATGTTCGCCCCGTAGGATTTACATGCGACTTGTAATTGAACTTCAATTTGAAGTGATAAAAATCAATTGAAGGCACTGTGATAGGCTAAAATACCCATCGAACTTCGAATCTCTCTGGCCAACCAGATTCTAGAATTTCATGCAACATCGAAGACAAGGTGGGCGGCCTTTCCCAGTAGTGCGCTCCCGATCGAAGTGCATACATCAGAGGTGAAACGCAATACCCGTATACATATGTGATGGTGGCTATTTTTGTTCACAGACTACGTTGTAGAGTACGATGGGTTGACTATCATGTGTGAGAACTGAAGTCTACCTTCCGAGGCGGTGGCACGTGAAGGCGCTCCGCGGGTTGAGATTGCAGCTCGTGTTTGGTTTATTGCAAGGATTGGCCCCTCTTCATTCAACTTTGTGTCAAGTCACATCACCTCGTTGCGCACTCTTAGCTGGTGTCAAAGTCGAAGGCGGTATGCTTTACATGCTCTTCTCACGACGACTCGATCAACAACAAAACATTGCACCGCTTGTAGCGTGGAGAAAAAGGTCCCAACATGTTTGAAGTTTTATGAGTTACGTTGTGGACGATTCCGCCAACGACAGCCTGGCGACATTCGCAACACAAGTACCAATTAACATACGAAACAAATGCCCAGGTATGCCTTTTGAATGCCAAGCTACCGATGCAGTCGAGGGATTTCGATCGAAGAAGAATTATCCTTTTCCACGGATGATACCACACATGATCAATACGTCCAACAGTGTGCGTTGGGGCGCGACTGTAGCAACTTTGAAATACATCGGTGGCTCGGGCGGTGTTGAGAAAAACGTGAGGAGGGCAATGCCAGAAAGTAGAATTCTGATACATTTCTCACATTCTGACTATTGTGTATCTGATCTCCACACTCAATTCATATAAAATACTCATAGAATTCCAGGCATCGTTGTCAATATGACACATTTCGAAACAATTCACTGCCAGCATAAAAACGTAATTCGGTTTATACCAAATATACAAAGGATTTAATACAGAAGAATGAGTAGTAATGTTGGAATTGCAAGCCATTTATCCATTCTTTATTGTAATTTGACATGCATGTATTTCCTCAAAATACATGCAAAATGTACCCCTCAAATTATTCACATCCAGCAATCAAAGCACAATAAGCAACCGGGTGTGCAAGCGGCGGATCGAAGCGAAAGGTGTTGAGTAGACCGACTACGTTCATCTCCTCATCCACAACAAGGGTAATGACACGCCGAGCCACTTGCAAACGGATGCGTCATGAATCCATCCCCATCCCTTCAATGTCAAGACTACGAACGCCCAGGTGATCGTCAATCGTGTTCCAGCAGCAATTTGAATCCGATTGGCTACAGGTGCACGAAGCAAAAGTATCGCGCGAGCAAATTTTTCGGCTCTGGTGCAAGCTGTCGCGCACGCTGCGCGTGGATTTCAACTGGTCGCACGCAGCATTGTTGCTGGTATAGAGAGCGTTTAAAACACCGACTCTATTGCAGACAGGACAGTATTTGAAATATTTTAAATCGACAAATGAGAAATTCACGGATTTTAAATGTAAATTGCACGTTTCAAACATGTCCGAACGTAGGTTCGAGTCCCACGCACACCACATGCAGCTGGCAGAGGCGTAGAGTGATGGCTGCGTCCAGGTCATTTGAGTTCCGATGCCACCGCGGCGACTCTGGACAGCGGCGCAAGGCGACCTCTGCGAGATAGCCGAGTCGTGTGTGGTGTACTCGTCGCCCACAACGCCGCAAAACTGTAATCGAAGCAAGTTCGACTGTGGATCATGCCTCGATGTTCCTGGTTTCAACAAGTCGGTGGTGTGCAATTCCAAATTCACACAAGACTCTTGCCTTGGCACGTGGTGTCCTGCCCGCGAAGATCTGCCGCCGTTTCCGTTTCCTTTCACGACAACACAAAGGCCGACGACTACCCCCGTGCCTGTGACAACAACGATGCGACCTCCGCCCTCCACAACACCGACGCCCATTGTGACGTCCAAGCTGCCCATGACCACCGCCCTTCCCATCGATACCATCAACTCAGATACTTCGATCTATATTGGCGTGAGCTGCGGCGTGCTGCTTTTAATCGTGTTTTCGCTCTTCATTCTGTGGAAACGGCGCCAACATCGTGCGGAACTCCAGGAAATCGAGACCTTGCGAAAGGAGAAGGAGCAAGAAGAAATGCTCCACGGCGACCCAGTCCTGTTCAATACGATCGGCCATCAAAGCTTGATTGCCAGCGCGCGATCTGAGCCTGACGCGATGTGGTGGGCAAGCCACGCGGAAAAGGACGACGCACAACCCCCAAGCACGAACCAAGGTGCCACCCGCCTTGCCACCAGCATAAGTTCCAAAAGCGGTATTGCCGAAGTGCCTGTGTAGGCACGATCAGCAGGGCAGGTAGTATCATACACTATATTTAGAGCAATCAAAGGGCCACATTGGCGTTGTGTTGTTGGCGTGTAGTTATGTCGGCGAGAGGGATCCAGCGGTGGGGGAAGTACGACTTCCTGCATTTGTACGTACGATGGATAGGCTGGGTGTGCTCGTATCGACGCCGGTAACCTACACTTTTTGAGTTGTCCGCCCCATCGTTGCTATGGCCATGTCATCTGCAATTGTACGCAGTACAGAGGACATCCCCGCCCCATCGTTGCTATGGCCATGGCATCTGCAA